GAGGGGCGTAGGGGAGAAGAGGGGCCCCGTGGGGGAAAGGGAAACACGGGGGCACAGGGGGTGAAGAGGATAAAGGGGGATGTGGGGATAAAGGGCCAGTGTCGTTTTCAGAGTGGGGGGCACCAGGGTGTCATCCACCCCAGTGTGGGGCTCAGAGCAAGAAGTGACAGGAGGCAGCTGTAACATCCACCCTCTCCCTGGGTGGGAATCCCAGCGGATCCCATCCCTACAAACGCAGATTAAGCAGTAAATGGGATTTTTTTCCCCCTCTCCCAGCCAGCAGCAGCAGCAGGAGTAGGACATGACCCACCATGTCTGAGGGCAGCAGGGGCCACTCGGTGGCCTTCGGCCAGGTGGTCATCGGGCCACCAGGCTCCGGGAAAACCACCTACTGCCACGCCATGAGGGAATTCCTGACGCAGATCGGGCGCAGGGTGTCCGTGGTGAACCTGGACCCTGCCAACGAGGCGCTGCCCTGCCCCTGCGAGCTGGACATCGGCCAGCTCGTCACCCTGCCCGACGTCATGGGCAGCCTCGGGCTGGGGCCCAACGGGGGCCTCCTCTACTGCATGGAGTACCTGGAGACCAACGTGGACTGGCTGCAGGAGAAGCTGGAAGGGCTCAAGGGGCACTATGTCCTCTTTGACTGCCCCGGGCAGGTGGAGCTCTACACGCACCACAACTCCCTGAAGAACGTCTTCGCCCACCTGGCCAAGTGGAATTTCAGGGTATTTTTGGAATTCCGGGGCTCTGCAGGGGGTTTGGGGTGGGTGATTGGCGCCCATGTGAGGCTTCACATCCCATGGGCATCGTGGGGACTAATGGCTGTTTTCTTCAGGAGTTTTTTGGCCTTTCCTGTGAAATGGCTTTATTAGGGAAGGAGGGGAATTTTGTCCTAATTTTGTCTTATTTTATTCTCCAAAGGATTGGCAAAACAGTGGCTTGTCAGGGCTTTTAAAGCAGTGGGATTATGGGCAGAAATATGGATTCTTTCCTCACACTTATTACAGAATCACAGAATGGTTTGGGTTGGAAGGGACCTTAAAGCCCATCCAGTTCCACCCTCTGCCATGGGCAGGGACACCTTCCACTAGACCAGGTTGCTCCAACCTGGCCTTGGACACTTCCAGGGATGGGACAAGCACTTGCTGTGCTCCAGGGTCATCCCCACAGTGTATGTGTTTTATCCAGGCAGGGAGGTCGGTGTGTGCTGGGACCCTTTTTGCCCTGCCCTGTGAGGAACCCAGGTGACATCCCAGGCCCTGCCTGCCCTGCCTGCACCCCGTGGGACGTGCTCTGGGCCTCCTTGCACAATGGGAGATGCAGATGAGGCCGTGCAGGTGAGAACAGTCCCACAGCCCAGGGAACCTGCTGACGCGGCGTTTGCTTTGCATCGGGGCCAAACCATGAATGTGCAAACCCTCTGCAGTGTGAGAGCAAGAAGGGCAGGTTCATTTGCCTGAGAATGTCACTGGGAATCTGCACATTAGAGGTTATTTTCATTGGAATAAATGGATGTGAAATTGGGGTTGCTAAAATAAGACATTTGTGCTGCTGTTTTGCTGCTCTCCCGGGTGCTCACACCTGGGCTGGTTTTTGCTGCAGAAGCTCTGCTGTGACTCAGCCACGCTCAGCCTCAGAGCCCTGGCTTGGAGTGACTTCCAGAGGTCTGGGACCACATTGTTACAGCAGCACAAAACACAGGGAATCGAACTGTTCATTAGTGTAATTATTAATTATTAGTGCAGACCGCAGTTGGCTCTCCCAGCAGAACGTGGCGTGCTACAGTTACTGCTCCTGAGTGTGCCATGGCCTGAGCAGTCCTGTGGGGAAGGTGGAAATCTGGAGGCAGTTGTGCTGTTCAGTAGGAGAATTAAACCCAGCTGTTACCCCAAAAATTCTGCAGAGTTCAGGCAAGTGGGGAAACTTCAGCTGCAAAGAGAGAAACCCTGGGGAAAGGGAAAGGGAAAGCAGCTGCAGGTTTGGGTGTTGGTGGTGAAGCTCAGCACCCCATAAAGCCTCCTGACAGCCCTTCCCTGGGTCCTGAATCCGTGGTGGTCCTTGGGTGGGAATGGGACAATATACACTTTTATATATGTGGATTTATGAATATGTTCAGCCTGGAGAAGAGAAGGCTCTGGGGAGACCTTGGAGCCCCTTCCAGTGCCTAAAGGGGCTCCAGGAGAGCTGAAGAGGGACTTCGGACAAAGGCCTGGAGTGACAGGAAAAGTGGGAATGGCTTCCCAGTGCCAGAGGGCAGGGTTAGATGGGATACTGGGGAGGAATTCTTGGCTGTGAGGGAGGTGAGGCCCTGGCACAGGTTGCCCAGAGAAGCTGTGGCTGCCCCATCCCTGGAAATGTCCAAGGCCAGTTTGGACGGGGCTTGGAGCAACTTGGGCTGGTGGAAGGTGTCCCTGCATTGGAATGAGAGGAGCTTTAAGGTTCCTTCCAACCCAAACCCTTCCATGGTTCTCTGATTCTGGTTTTCCTGTGCAGGAGGTAGAAGGTAGGTGGTAGCTTTCCCTACGTGGTGCAGTCAGGTCTGAACAGATTGTCCTGTTGCCACTTCCCGACCGTCCCTAAAGCAAGTGGATGGTTTTGTCACGGGTCTGACCTTTGTGTCCCTTCGTGCCTTTGCTTCCCAGCTGGCTGCAGTGCATCTGGTGGATTCCCACTACTGCACAGACCCTGGGAAGTTCATCTCTGTGCTCTGCACCTCCCTCTCCACCATGCTGCACGTGGAGCTGCCCCACGTCAACATCCTCTCCAAGATGGACCTGATCGAGCAGTACGGGAAGCTGGGTAAGAGAATTCCATGGAATCACGGGATGGTTTGGGTTTGGAAGGGACCTTAGAGCTCATACCCTTAAAGCCATGGGCAGGGACACCTTCCACTAGACCAGGTTGCTCAGAGCTCCATCCAACCTGGCCTTGGACACTTCCAGGAATTTGAGGGATGTGGATTGACCAGGTGCAGATTGCCTGTTTGGGAATGGGAGTGGCTGAAGAAACTGGTGTAAACCTCAGTGATGGTGGGGAAACTTGTACTCTTCCACTTAAAAATTGCCTTGTTTCCCTGCAGCTTTCAACCTGGATTATTACACCGAGGTCCTGGATCTCTCTTACCTGGTTGATCATTTGGCCTCCGATCCCTTCTTCAGGAATTACCGCCGCCTCAACGAGAAGCTGGTGGAGGTGATTGAGGACTACAGCCTGGTGTCCTTTGTCCCCCTCAACGTCCAGGTGATGCAGCAGGAGGGAACAGGGAGCCTTGGATGTGTGGCTGGGTGTGTAGCACCTTGTTTGTGTCTGCTCAGAGCCACGAGGGCTGAAAGCCTGAGCTGTGAAGAGACTCAGGGATGGAAAACAGGGAAACACACCCAGACTTGTAAATGATCCGTGGCAGCCAAAGGAAGAGGAAAGGCTGATGAGCTTGGGGCTACCTGGGCCTTGTGTCCTGGGGTGGGGAGTTCAGGCTCCCCTTTCTCCCAGCCCTTCTGCAGCTGCATTTCAAACCTGGGCAAAGTATTACCTAGAACGTCGTCAAATTAGGGAGCACCGAATAATTAGAAGATTGGGAGGAATAAATTGGGGAGGAAGGGCTGGAAATGTGGTGGTTAATCAGGGAGTTGGCAGAAGTGTCAACAGAGGCAAATGGGCTGGGACAAGGTGATGAAAGGAAGGAGAGGGTGGAGGTGTCAGCCTGGCCTGTACCACGGGTGTCCCTGTTTGTCCC